TCTCTTTGCAATCGAATCCGTTATCTTACTCGAAGTATTGATCTGGATTGGTTTTTATCTTTCTGATTATGTTGCAGATTCCTCTATCATCGGCGAATGAGGACCTACAGTCTCAATTATCAGCGAAGAGGCGTATTATAGCTTTAAATAAGAAAGATTTAGCAAACCCTAATATTCTCAATGTAATTTTCTTCTAGCCCTTGTGTTTTAGACTGTCTATGAGAGGTCTGAGTTTCTGCAATTTTTTTATGGTGTTTGTAGAAATGGACCCATCATTTTGAGTCCAAGAAGCAAGATTGTATTGCCATTAATGCTCATAGCAGAAGCTCTGTCAAGAAGGTTAGATCATCATCTTTTACATTTATGTTTGTGTGGTAAATTAGGAATAGTTTTGTCACACATAATTTGATACGGATTGCTACTATCTGCGTGTCTAAAAGTTACCTTTTTCCTGCATAATTTCATATAGCTGCTTGATCTCGTTGAGTTGAAGCTCAAGGAAGTGATTGCTAGAGAGCCTACTTTACTTGTAATGGTGGTTGGTGTCCCCAATGTTGGAAAATCTGCAGTGATTAATTCGATCTATCAAATCGCAGCGACTCGGTTTCCTGGTATAAATAATTTATGTCTCGGTTTATTAGCAGCATTATAAGTGCACATATCACATATCACAGATATAGTCTGGAGTCTGGACTCCAAAGTTAATTGTTGCTTTGATGAAATGATGAATGGAATGTAGCGTGCCTTATTTCGATATATGCATTATGTGCGTAGTGCAGGATAAATTAAAGAGAGCTACAGTTGGTCCATTGCCTGGTGTAACACAAGATATTGCTGGTTTCAAGGTTTCCTTTTCTTCTTTTGTTGGTTGGGGATTTTCTGCTTGTGCTTTACACTTTTCACCATGATTTTTGAACAAAGTACTGAGAAAATTCCGTGGTAACAGATTGCTCATCGACCTAGCATATATGTTCTAGACTCCCCTGGTGTGTTGGTCCCAAGTATCCCTGATATCGAAACGGGTCTGAAGCTTGCACTTACAGGTTCTTCTCCTTTCTCTTCTTTCTTCTTGGTGCTAGATTGTGTAAACCCGTACACTAGATTTACTTCATAAAATCTCAGTTCTTTGTGTTTAGCTACTATTTTCTTACAGCATATGATCTTACTAGCTGAATGTTACAACACGTTTTCGAAGAACTTATCTATCTGAAATTCTGTCATGCTAAGGATCCGTCAAAGATTCAGTAGTGGGTGAAGAGCGGCTTGCACAATACTGTCTAGCCATTTTAAACACTCGTGGGACACCACTACATTGGAAGTACTTATTCGAGGGAAGAAACGAAGGGTCTCATCCAGATTGCATCGATAAACCAAGCTACAACTTAAAGGATCTTCGACATCAAAGAAACAAACAACCAGATTCATCTGCTGTGCGCTATGTTGGGGTTAGTACAATATAACCTTATTATCCATAGCTTGTTTCATCTTGAAATTGTCATAAACTATGATGTTTCCTGGCATCTGCAGGATATGATTTCAGAAGTCAAACGATCACTGTACACAACGCTCTCAGAATTCGATGGGGATATAGAGGATGAGAATGATTTGGAATGTTTGATAGAGCAACAGTTTGAGGGTCTAAAAAAGGCATTGAAGATTCCTCACAAAGCATCCGAAGCACGGTTAATGGTTTCCAAGAAATTTCTTACTTTGTTTAGGACAGGTAGACTTGGTCCCTTCATTCTTGATGATGTCCCTGAAACTGAAACTGAAACTGAACCGTCCAATTCGAGACGGGTAGTAGCTTTGTAAAATCAAAAGAAAATTGTAACACATTATGCATGCAGCATAAGATTATGATTCTATTTGTTTTCATTGAGATTCAATGGCGTTGCTCCAGTAACTCCAAAGTATTTGAATGAACAAAATTGAATCATGATAATACTTGGCATGTGCCAGAAACAATAAAATCTATTTGGCGTCCTCATTTATTGGCCTCGATGAATTCCCGGTATTCTTTCTTCATCTTCACACCCGATATGGTCCTGCACAGACTTGGAATCTTTAGCCAAACCCGAACACAATAATCTATACAATCCTGAAAACTGAAAGAACATTTCCTGACCTGAGCATTTCCTTGTTCTTGAAGAATTGCACACATGGCGTTCCCATGATTCCGGCTGCTTCAGCAATTTCTTGATCTTCTTCAATGTCAATCTCAACAAAATGCACATCATTGTGATACTCATCAACCACCTGAAACAACATGAAAATGAAATGGACAGATGGTTAGAAAATCAGTCCAGCAAGAGTAAAATCTCCTCCAGTAAATTTCATTTCAACTAAATTTAGTCGGGAAAGAATACCTTGTTCAAAATAGGCTTCAGAGTCCTACAGGGACCACATGTAGGTGAAGTGTATAGTACACATATAACTCTTGGACTCTCATGGTATAATTTTCTAAGAGCATACTGAAGCAGGGTAAAAAACAAAAAGAAAAAAAGGTGTGAGGCAGAGAAAATGCTTGTAGATAACAACTTAAGGTTCATATGTTAACAGAAAGAGAAAGGAAAAAAACACCTGTCCCTTATGCTTTGTAAGAGTGATGTCAAACTTCTCTTGGACGTCGCGCTGTGTGAACTCTTTCTTCGCCTCTTCAGTTTGAGGCTGTTATGTGGTAGAACATGAACATGAAAGAGTGTAAGCCTTCTCAAGTGTGCATAAGATTTCAGATTTTTATAAAAATAATTCCTACCTGGTGAAATTCAACAAGAAGATTGTTACTTGTGAGGTATCTTTCGGCAGACAAAGCAGCTATGCATCCTGATCCAGCAGCGGTTACAGCTTGTCTCCATTCGTGGTCCTAGAGTGACAAATGGGAGAGTAGCCCACACAATTATCGAACCAATATGACTTCAAAGAGTTAATAGAAATACACAAAGATGCTAAAAGTTCCAAAGCATAACCTGCACATCTCCTGCTGCGAATACACCTTCAACTGAAGTATTTGATGTTCCTTCCCGAACCAACACGTACCCCGAGCTGTCGAGTTCGACTTGGCCTTCCAATAACTGACTGTTTGGCGAATGGCCTATTCCATAAAACAATCCTTTTGCCTCCAGCTCGGTTTCTTCGCCCGTATCAACTCTTCTGAGTAGAATGCCAGACATCTGTCCCTTGGTGTTGCTCAATACGTCCACAGTTTCCGTGTTGTAATGCACTGTGATGTTTGGATTGTTGATCACTCTGAAACATTCGCCATAACCAACCTGTTAAAAAAACACTCAGGGTGTTGAAAAGACTCAACTTACAGTGTGCTCATTAGTCTACAATTCCAAATGCCAACAAACTTCTTGTGTTTTTCTTCAGAAGTCAAAGAAGAAGAGTAAAGTATGACTCAGAAGCTATTAACTTAATAACCTCTAAAAACTCACCTATCTTGCATAGCCTTGGAAGCCCTCAACTGATCTCTGCGAACAAGCAAATGAACATGACGAGCATATTTTGTAAGGTATATAGCTTCCTCTGTCGCCGTATCTCCTCCTCCAACCACGGCAAGTACTTGCCCCTTAAACAAAGGCGAAGCTCCATCACATATTGCACAAGCACTAATTCCCCTACTCCAGAATTCTTCCTCTCGAGGTAGCTTCAGCCTCTTTGCTGTAGCTCCAGTGGCATAAATAATACTATGACATTTGACCTACAAAATCAACCAATCGTAAGTATACCATAACATTGGTTGAGAGACAGAGAGCCCAAGAATAATTATCCAACAATGTCTATACAAATCTCACAAACTAATCGTAAGACCTTATGTTCATCAAATCAAATTAAAGCATCTGCTTTTAGAAGAACTAATGAAATCTCCACCACTATCAACACTGGTCTTTCCTCTACCTTCAATGTTATGTTATCGAAAAAACATTGTTTCCAAGAGAACAAGAAACAAACCAAAAGACAATTACACAAAGTAAATACCTACCTCCATGGATTAAAACACACATTTATACGACATACCAAACCTGCATTCTCTATCTACTTCGAATTGACAAAACCAAGAAAGATAATCACCTTACGTTCATTACTTTGCACAGTAAAAGGAGCACTTTTAACGCTAAGAGATTCCACATCCTCTGGATACAACTCTGCTCCCCACCTCTCAGCTTGCTTCCTCATTCTAAACATTTCAAAACAAACCATCATCAGAATAGTGATCTCTCTAGAGTTGCATGACTACTAAAGAGCCAAAAATTTGAAGAAATGTCAAAATTCCTCACCTCTCCATTAAATCCGGACCCGTAATCCCGTCTGGGAATCCCGGAAAATTCTCAACCTCGGTGGTTGTCATCAACTGTCCACCGGGAACTCCGCCCATCTGATACCCTTCAAATACCACCGGCTTCAAATTCGCCCGCGCCGCGTATATCGCGGCCGTGTAACCGGCGGGACCGGAGCCTATAATCACTACGTTCTCGATAATCTCGGCTGCAATTAGTACCACCACAGAGCTCAATCACTTGTGCAATTTCTTCCCAAATGGAAACTTCGAGAAACAAGTAAAACGGAAGTTCTCATATACCTGAAGGAGACGGAGAATTGGCGGCGGAGACTCTGAGGCGGAGTGAATCGGAGCGAGTTCGAGTTTGTTGACGGAGGATGAAGGAAGAGCCGCGACGTGTAGTAGTGAGAAAGAAGAGATGAGGCGGTGGAGAAAGAGCGGATGATGCGGCGGCGACTCGGTGAGTCGACACGGAGGCAATTCCGATGCCTATCTTCGGAGACGAAGCCATTTTTTTGTTTGTGTGCCTTAAGCTTACAGAGAGACCATACAATTGTCTTCTTTACAGTTAAAAAAAAATTCAGTTTTTGCGAAATTGAGTGAGCGATTGTGTTACACGCGCCGTAGCATTATCTCTTCGCTTTGAAGTCCACAAGGTTGAAGGATTTTTTCAGCCGTTGGATCTAAGAGATGTGTGTAATCGACGGTGGAGATGTGTGTTGACTGATTTTACTTCGTCTTTTCATCGGAGGGATAAGCCAATCGGATTTTTTTTTTAATGTGTGTAAAGCTGAGAGACCAAGAGTTTTAGTGGAGGGACGCCTTTTTCTATTGGGCCTTAAATGGGCTGACATTGGTCTCAAATATTATG